TCTCACTCTCTGTTATCTGCAAATCTGCAATCTGATTTTGTTTCTTAATTTTTTTTTTCTTTTAATGCATTGAATTAATTAACTCCTTTAATAGGCACAATATATCTTTTTTGCTTGTGTTGGACCAGTGCTTCCGTGATGAGAAAAGCTTGACTCAGAATCCTGTTTTATGATGTATTAAAATTACCCTAACAAATGTACTAGTCGCTTCAAGTAATATAATGATGAGAGAGTGTCGAATCCACAAGAATTGTGTCTAATTAAGTACCAAAACAATTAATCTAAATTTATTTGAACAATCAAAAAGATAGAATTTTAATTAAAATACAAAAAGAAACTAACAATTAAAATAAAACTAGTCAAGATATGAAATACTAAGGCATTGACTTCACCATAATCAATCAATATAAATTTTGGATTAATATACTTTCAAAACCAATTTATTGAGTGTTATTGCATGTGAGGCAGATTTTCCTAAATTAATTAACTAGCTTTCTCAAGTCAAGTTAATCTTTCACTAGTTTGTTAAATTAATCACATCTCTATGTAATTATAAACCAACTAATGAGCATTAAATTTTATGGAAACCTTTAAGAAGGGGGAGCTCCTAACTCTCTTCTCTTCCTCCACTACCACATGTGAGCTAATTACTTCTCGGTCTCATAGTCTAGCACACGGTTTGTATTATTATTGGTCTAATCTACGCAATTCTTTCTTAAGTTCATGCATAAATCACTAAATCAATTGAAAGGTGATCAGACTTCCAATGCATTAAGTTCAATAATATAAATTCTTCACGCGAATAACTTTAATTGAAAGCATAAAATCACAAAATCTATATTGAATTGATTAGGCTACATCATACCCTTAATAAAATAAATCAGTTCATAATAAAAATAATAAAATCTACTATCATAGTTATGAGCAAGGAAGAATAAAACCTAATTTGAGAAAATTACAATCCTTGATCTCCTATTATTGAATCCTCTATCTTGATCTCTAAGAATGCCCAGGCTGCCACCAGCCTCTTCAAAACTCTCCTCATTCTGAAGTTGGATGGGTATTTATAGGATTTTAGAAACCCTAATTGAAATAAAAATAGGACTTGGAAGAGAAATAGAAAACTGAATTTTAGATGCTGATCGCGTGGTACTGACACTTCTTATTACGTGTTGACACAAAATAGGAAACAGAATCTGATTCTGGACGTTTAGCGCATGGTGTCGACATCTTGATCATGTGTCGACACTACACTCGTGTCGGGTTTTTGGTCTCCTTTTGCAATTTCTTCAATGGTAAAATGGCAAATTTGGTTCGTAACTTCTGGATTCTGCACAAGTTGATCCTCAAGTCTCTAATCTTTTCAATTTACTTCTAAAAAATAGGATTTCTTCCAATTAAATCTTTTCCTACACAAAGAATGAAAACCATGTAAAATCAAACAAAATCCTATAAAACTCATCCAAATATCAATAATATCAAAGTAAAAATTTCATATTAATATGTATATAAATTTAG